TATATATATATATATATATATACACATACACACACACACACATTTACATATACACGAAGTGTATTTAAATATTAATATATATAATTATTTATATATATATATTACTATCAAATTACACGTAGACTAATACTGATTAAATATATATATAAAATTATTGTTATATATATATATATATATATTTATATATAATATAAAAAAATGTAAATACGTAAAAAAAATAAAATTAAAAAAATAATTAAAAATAAATAATAAAAAAATATATAGATGTTTATTTCGTTCTAACTGTATTGTGATATTAATATATATATATTTATATCAAAATACACGTAGAACGAAATAATATATATATCTATATACATATATATCACTAAATATATACACCTATATATAAATAAAAATATTTAAAAAAATTATATATATATATATGTATATATACACATATGTATATATATACATATATTAATTCTACACATTTATGTAATATTTTTACATAATTAGGTATCCTAATTAATTACAATTAGCGGGACCTGCCTGACAACCCATGCCAAAAGTAAAGGGAATTTAATTTGCTAGCACTATATTTAACCCTATAATTTTCCAAGACACCATAAAACCTGTACATGGGGGGTACTGTTCTACTCGGGAGACTTCGCTGAACACAAATATTAGTGTTTCAAAACAGTAAAATGTATTACAACAATGATATCGCCAGTAAAAGTGAAGTTTTTTTGCATTTTTCACGCACAAACAGCACTTACACGGATGATATTATTGATGCAATACTTTTTACTGTTTTGAAACACAAATATTTGTGTTCAGCGAAGTCTCCCGAGTACAACAGTACCCCTCATGTACAGGTTTTATGGTGTTTTCAAAAGTTACAGCTTCAAATATAAGGCTTGTGTTTCTTTTTTCACATTAAAATTCGCCAGATTGGTTACGTTGCCTTCGTGACCCTATGGTAGCCCAAGAATGAAAATTACCCCTATGAGGGCATACCATTTGCAATAGTAGACAACCCAAGGTATTGCAAACAGGGTATGTCCAGTCTTTTTTAGTAGCCACTTAGTCACAAACACTGGCCAAAATTGGCGTTTTTTTGCATTTTTCACACAAACAGATACTAACGCTAACTTTGGCTAGTGTTTGTGACCAAATGGCTACTAAAAAAGACTGGACATACCCCATTTGCAATACCTTGGGTTGTCTACTATTGCAAATGGTATGCCATTATGGGTGTAAATTTCATTCCCGGGCTACTATACAGTCTCAAAGGCAACATAACCAATCTGTATGTAGGGGGTACTGTTTTACACGTGAGACTTTGCTGAATACAAATATGTGTATTTTATTGCAGTAAAAGCAAACCGTATTATGACACTGACCGTTAAAATGTCATGTAGAACTAAAAAAATATAAAAAAATCTTATTTTCTCCCATTTTTTTGATATTAAATTATGTTTCATAGCTAAATATTTGATATTAAATGAAAGCCCTGTTTCCCCTGAATAAAATGATATATAATAAGGGTGGGTGTATTTACTATGAAAGAGGTGTATTACGGTTGGACAGACATGTAGCGCAAATGCCAGGTTTTGTTTACACTTTGTTTCGTTCACAACGTGTACATTTGGCTCCGTCCTTAAGGGGTTAAATAAAAGACATTGTTTTTGCATGATCAGTCATATTTTTAAAATCAATGCCAACGTTTCTCAATGTCTGCCAGGGTATGCAAACTTTTGAGTGTGTGTGTATGTATGTATGTATATATACATTCTGGTTCTTGCTTTCAAATCGCTACATAATACTGCTCCCACCTATCTATCCTCCCTTATTCGCAAGTATGTACCGTCTAGGCCCTTACGATCTGCTGAAGACTTACGCCTATCTTCTGTCCGTACTCCCACCTCTGATGCTTGCCTTCAAGATTTCTTGAGGGCTGCACCATTCCTGTGGAACTCGCTTCCCTCCTCCATTAGATGCTCACCCAGTCTCCACTCCTTTAAAAAATCGTTAAAAACACACTTCTTCATAAAAGCGTATCAATTAAACTGTTAATAGCTCCCGACTGATTCCTCTTCTGCAACTGTCACTAGTCTAATACTATCCTTTATCTTTTTGTGTCATTTTACCCCACTCCCTCTAGCATGTAAGCTCATTGAGCAGGGCCCTCAACCCCTCTGTTCCTGTGTGTCCTACATGTCTGGCTACAACTACATGTCTGTTCGTCCACCCATTGTAAAGCGCTGCAGAATTTTATGGCGCTATATAAATAAAATAATCTATCTCAATGCATTGTTAAACACATAACTATACACCAGTCAAGCCATAAGGCTTGCTTTTCCCACAGAAATCTTAAATTTGAAATGATGTGACTACTGCAAATGATTCTGGGTAGGCATATGCAAATCAGTTCAACAAAGAATAAAATTTTTGCCTCATTCAATTTTAAACATGTATTCTAATTTTTGGGTAGCAATGAGCAATTGATTTGAACTTCTTTATTTTTATTGTGCAGGTATTAACATTCAAGCTTTGTATGCCACAAGAGCATTATCAAGCGTTGTAAAACATGTACAGGATATAATAAGTGTGGCAGTCATAGAAATAGCACATTTTTATAATATAATGACAGGCGAAAAAACAATAACATAATAAGTCAGTGGGTAAGTGAAACAATGTGGTGTAGTAATTGTGCTCTGGTAACTGACTTAGTTGTCGTTTGTACTGAATGTGACCGCAAACATGAGTGTGCGTAGCTACATATACTTATGCTGTTTCTGCGTTTTTCAGTTTGTGATACGAGAGAACTATAGCACAGTGAGGCGATATCTGCTACAGTTATATCAGAGTGTGTAAGCCATCATATCTATAGGTAGGCACGGGTGCGGTCCTCAACAAATCTTTATTGCTTTAGCCTGTCCCTTATAGAAGAGTTTCTGTTATCCTCAAACTGCATCAAGATAATATACAAATTATTCTGTGGATCGGAGAATACAAATATTCATGGTCTAAAAGCAATTAATTCTATAATTGTAAGCTTGTGAGTAAAAGTGATATTATAGAAAAGATCTTTTTTTTTTTTTGACAAATATGGTAAATGTAATTTATTTATGCATCCTTCTTTCTTTTTAATAGAAGCTGTTTATGAGTACAGTGAAATCCCTGGGAGCACCACTCCTCCACGTGCGACAGAGAAACCGACTGCTAAAATTGACTGGGCTTTTGCTCTTAAACAAGCAGCGATATATGAAGCCACAAAGTGGGCAGGTAAACATCCCACATTCTTGTAACATAGTCCGAAACAGAATACAATCCGTAACTAAATGTAAATATAGAAGTTATTGGTAACTGCTTTCTTTATTCTTTTATGTACATTTTGCACTGCATCATTTAGTTTTATGCTCTTCTTTTAGATGTTCCGCAAATTAAAAAGAATTTCTATGTGGAATCCAAGAAAATTTCAACTATGTCTAAAGATGAAGTCCTTAAGTGGAGGTAATTTTAAAATGATCATGTTATTCGATCACTAGGAAAACACGTCTTCTTGCACAGTCTCGCATAGCCCTCTAAATATATGAAATAAGAACATGTTTTATTGATTTATTTAATAGCATTTTGAGCTCAATTCATCAACTCTTATGACTAATAGCAATAGTTCTATTAATTTTCCTTCCTATTTATTAATCATGTGCTAGTTTTCAAACCTTTGAAGGTTTGCATTATTTGTTTAAACAACTTTTAATAGGTTGCCCTACTCTAAACTATTTAAAGTAAGCATTGCTCTCTGTCACTCTAAAACCCCATTATTGCTTTACTTAAAAAAAAATTAGAATCCATATACCTTTTATCAAAGGTGATTTTAGATTTATCAGAGTGCTTCTCTTGTTTATAGTGAATTTTAAATAAGTCCGATCTCTCCCCTAGGGATCGACCGATATTGATTTTTTATTTTTTTATTTTTTTTTAGAGCTGATACCGATAATCTGTCAACTTTCAGGCCCATAGCTGATATTTTGCCGATATTCTGTACATTTACCATTTGGATAGCCAATAACTTACCGATATTCTGTACATTTACTATTTGGAAATATTAAACTATTTCTAAAGGTAAATGCACAAAATAAACATGCCACATGTAGTGGATGCAGTGTTTATTTGTGTAGTGTGTATATAATGAATGTAGGGTGTGTTTGTGTAGTGTGTATAGTGAATGCAGTGAGTGTTTGTGTAGTGTGTGTGTGTGTGTATATGTGTGTGTGTGTATATATGTGTGTATGTGTGTGTGTGTATATATATATATATATATATATATATATATTGAATGCAGAGTGTGTGTATATTGAATGCAATGTGTATAGTGAATGCAATGTGTAGGTAGTGTGTGTGTGTGTGTGTATAGTGAATGCAGTGTGTTCGTGTAGTGTGTGTATATAATGAATGCGGTGTGCATTCATTGTATATACACACACTGCATTCTTTATATACACACACTACACAAACAGTGTGTGTGTATAATGAATGCTGTGTGTGTGTGTGTATAATGAATGCAGAGTGGGAGTGTAGTGTGTGAGTGTGTGTGTTTCCGAAGAGATGTAATTTGAGGGGGGGGGGGTGATATGGCATTCCCTGCTTGTTACCTGGCCAAGGATTGGGGATATGGCATTCCCTGGTGGTCCGGTGGCATGTACTGAGCAGTGAGAGGGCCTGCAGCAAGCTGTTACCTACCTTCCCAGCAGCTCCCATGTCAAATCTCGCGGCATTTAGTGCTGCGAGAAGTGTTGCCATGGTAACCCGTGGCAACGCTCTGCGGCCGCGAGATTTGACATGGGAGCTGCTCGGAGCCCGGCAGTCCTGGTATGTATTATCGGCAATATCGGTATCGTTATTGGCCGATGACGAAAATAACGAATATCGGTAAAACCGATAATCGGTCGATCCCTACTCTCCCCCTCCATGTGAATGGCGTTTTTACCCAGTAAGACAGGGAACATTAGGAGAAAGTGATCTGAAATGTGTCAATTGGGTAAGATTTAAATTTGTAATGATACATAAAGAAGTCACACCCCCTTTCCCCCTCCCTATTAGAATATAGTTTACTGTAGGTATAGTACCATTTTGAGATTTAGATACATGTTAGTTCAACGTGTTTGGGTCTGAAAATATGCATTTTCTGGCTATGATGTATACCTAAATTTTGTGTTTTTACATGAAATCTTTTATAACTGAATAAATGCAAGTACTTTTCGAGAATTATTTACTCTAATGTACTTTTGCTGATTTAGTGCAAACAGGAACTCTATTTTGTTATCTTTCTTGCAAAACTATATGTGTAGCTCTCTGTGTGAGCCAAGCACCTAAAAGACTTCTTGTAGCTGAGGTTTCATTTTGTGTTTTCTACACAGAAAAGAAAATAATAACATAATGTGCACTGACTTAAATGAAAACGAACAGCGATCCATTCCAAATCCGGTCTCGGACTTTGAAGATGCTTTCAGTCCATTTCCTGAAGTGATGAGTGCGTTAAAAGTTGCTGGGTTTAAAAAACCTACCCCGATTCAGGTATTCTATAGGCCTATTTATTTACTTATCTGTTTGTTTTATATCAATAAATTGAAATGCGTGTCATGATTTATTTTTTTTCCCCTTCAGTCCCAGGCTTGGCCAATTATACTGCAGGGAACAGACCTTATTGGCATCGCCCAGACGGGCACAGGGAAAACCTTGGCATACTTACTTCCAGGTTTTATTCACCTGGATCTTCAGCCATGGTAAAATATAGAAATATTTATTCCTTATTTTATTATAAAAACTGGTTAAAGCTTTTGCAAAAAGTGATCTCAAGTTACATACAGTGTCAAGTGTACAAAAATGGTTCTTCTTCAGTGTGTGTGTGTGTGTGTGTATGTGTGTATATATGTATATATATATATATTTTTATTTTTTTTTTAACCATTTATTTTAATAAATGTAAGAAATGAATCCGTATTGAGAAACATTTTGATGATAGTCAATACTTGTCAGGAAACCTTACCTCTTGATGGACATTTTTGTTTCCCATGGAAGTCATATTTTGCTGTTTTTTCAAAGTTATAGTTGCCCTACTCTAATGTAATTCTACTGACCTAGTGATTCAAACGTCCTTCTTAATGTAGCCACTGGTTTATTGCTTAGGCACGTTATTTAATTTTCTTCTCTCCCTCTTCATTTTAGTTTAAGTACATTACTATTCATAAGAAATGTTTGCAATAATGTCCTTGCATTGTGTTTTGTTTTTAGTACTGGAGATCAGCGTGGTGGGCCTGGCATGCTAGTGCTTGCTCCGACTCGTGAACTAGCTCTTCAAGTCCAAGAAGAATGCTCAAAATACAAATACAAAGGCTTTAAAAGGTATGCATTTTGAAACATTTCTCATTTAATTTAAAAGAAGCATACTGACCAAAAACATGTTGCTATAACCAAAAAAAATACCGCTCAGCTATTTCAAATGTTAAGCGTTTTGTTCAAATGTTCTGCATTGACTTTCAAATGTGATCACATAGATTTTTCTGGATATGTACAGAACTTAAAGAAACACTCTAAACACCAGAGCTACTGCAACTTACTGTAGTGGATTTTGGTGCAGAGACTGTTCCTGCAGTGTAAATGCAGCCTTTCTAGGAAAAGGTAGTGTTTACATTACTTCCTAAGGACACCTCTAGTAACCGTTGCTTAGACACTAGATGCTTTTTGTTGAGCGATGTTTGGCACCTTCATGTTCTGCATGAAGATGCAGAATGCTCATCATGGAGATGCTTTGAGCTAATGTATCTCTATGCAGAGATGCTGATTAGTGCATTGATTGCTGGGCATGTGCAGTAGCAACCCAGTGATTACCTATGGAAAAGCATTGGTGTGGCTTAGACGATCATGATTGAGAATCTTTACTGGGGTGGTGGTGTAGAGATCATTGCTGTGAGGGGCAATTTGTAAGTAAAATCTAAGTTTTATAGGAATTCTTAATAAGTAGAAACACTTGTTAGAAATACATGTTTTTAATTCTAACATACATGTTTTACTTTAAGTGCTATATGGTTCTTTTATATTTATTTTTTATTTAGAATTTAATAACTGTGTGGTAAATTTTCTAACAGTAATGACCACTGAAATGGAATGTTGTAGCTTACTGTATTTCATTTTTAGTTTATAGCTGAATATATTTAAAGGAAAACGATGAATAGCTGAAGCTGTAATCACCATTTTGTATGAAAGTCACTTTTTAAATTTTTTTTTATATTTGTTTAGTTTATGTGTTTATGGTGGCGGAGATCGTAGGAACCAGATCAGTGTAGTCACCGAAGGAGTTGATATTATTATTGCTACCCCTGGACGATTACATGATCTTCAAATGAACGATATAGTTAATTTAAGAAGTATAACTTACATGGTAAGTGTATGGATTTGAGTCGAGACAATGATGTAATATTTAAGTGGCTTAAAGTTCACTGTTGAGAACTGTTGGCTGAACTTCAACGTCTAGAAATGTTTGCTGTGATTCCTGATTATATGGGGAGATACTAAGGTTCAGGAGGCAGGGACAGCAATGATAACACATGCAAGTACAAAAACTCACAAGATGGAGGTATTTTATAATGGTGAATGTATGTAGATGGGGCATGGTTAATAATGCTACAAATGTTTGTATTTATTCATATAATAAACTGAACATGCAAGAAATATTGCTATTTATTTAGGCCAAAACTAAAAAAATGCATGCATATGTTGGTGCCTGGGGTACCCCTTTAGCTTGCTTGCCAACGTTCAAGACAATGAAAAGCTATTGCAAGGAGTGATCATACAGAAATGTTTTTTTGAATGTTTTCGCATAACCTATTATTCCTTACAGGTTTTAGATGAAGCAGATAGAATGCTAGATATGGGCTTTGAACCACAGATTAAAAAGATCTTAATTGACATAAGACCCGATAGACAGACAGTCATGACAAGGTAACTGGATATAACCTGAAGGTGTTTTCTGTATATAATTACATAGAACTGTCTAGTATCACAAACTTGTATTTTGTGTGGTTTGGCACGTGTGTTAGTGTGTTTATAGTTGTAAACATTGGTTCTGCAAACATTTATGAAAAACTTTTACTGTACATTAAAGCGGTACTGTCATGGCCAAATCCAGTGGTTATTTTATTTTTTATTTAAAACCTCCCTCCTGACTCCACTATTGACCCCCAAATGCCCTGAAGCATCCCATATTACCTAGTTTTTAAACTTTTTTTTTCTGCCCGTATCTAGGTTCTGGGTGCCGCCATCTTTGTGTGGGTAGATGAAGTACCTGCGGGACACATCATCTGCACACACTAGATAGCGCTGTGAAATTCCCGCGCATGCCAAGTTAAGCACTTGGGCATGCGAACAGGAATTTCATCCATTCATTTGTCAGAAAGACTAATGAATAGCAATGTCAGACGAACAAACAAACACTGAATATCTGTGTTCATTCAGTTTTTTACAAGGAGGGAGCTACCGGCGCACTGCTCCCGTCTGTGTAAAATTTAAAAATAGAAGCGGCAGGGAGCACTGCTCTCCACCACTTCCCAAGCCCCCCATGTCTTCCCCCACTCTATAGGGTTCAATATGACCCCCATAATCGCATAAGGGAGTTTGAAATCTCCCGAATGCCCCTATTCACTATGCCGTAAGTAGGGGCATGTCTACTAAACAGTGAGCAGCAGGGATCAACAGTGATCCCATGGGGGGGCATCTATTAATTAGCGGAGGGTGGGGGCCCTAAATAAAAATGGGAGGGGGGGAGGACCTATTGTCCTTCCCCCACCCCTGAGTGGCAGGTTGGGGCCCTAAAAGAAAATGTCCTGTCCCCTCCAAGGTGACTAGGGGTCCCCAAGCTCCTAGTCACACACCGTCCCCCCTTCCCTCCCCCCCACCAAAACAAAAATGAATAAACCCCTTCCTACCCCCCTCACCATAAAAGTAGTGAGGGTAGGGGGGACACAATAGGTCCCCCCCATTGCTATTTAAGGCACACCCACCCGCCGATCAAGGGTGGGGGCTGGGGGGGCTCTAGGACCCTCCTTCAGTTTAATAGCCCCCACTTTTTATTACCCCCACTGTTTAATATACATGCCCCTACTCACGCTATTTTATAAGCGGCTGCAAGATGCAGCCGCGGCTTGAATAGGATCGAAGTTTCATTCATTCGAATAAAATTCCGATCCGAATGAAGTCCCGAAATCTGTCCTAACATGAATTAACAAACTGTTCACATTCTGTTAGGATGCAATACTGCAGTTTCGCCAGCGTCCTGTCTAAATGACAGGACATTCGGTAAAAGTGAAAGGAAGCATCGTGCGAACATGGAGGATAGGTGAGAATTGTGGGAAAATTTCTCTGACCACAGGAAATGAAGCACACTTTGCTCCTCTGCTGGTCAGAGATGGTCAGGTGTAGGAAACCTCCATAAGGCAAATAGTCCCTACTTTGTC